CATCATCGAGTTCTATCTATTTATAATTTATACTAATTATAATCAACTCCCAAACATGCAATCACAAAAAATAAAAAGTTAAAACTTAAGAAAAAGGAATAAAGAAATGGAATAAACAACTATCTTCCCCAACTGACCCATGATATTGAAATAGCACTTCGCTATAGCAGAAATCAATTGTTATATGCACAACAACTTCACCATGAGTCATGCAACTACTCCATGTCAATAACTGATCCATAAACCATATTGGGTTCTGTATATATATATATATCGCATTTGTTGAACTCATTTGAATACAATCCAAGAAAAAATTCATAGTATAATATTAAGAAAACAGTATCAAAGAGTTTCCTCATATACTAGCGTTCAAAATGATCAAGAAATCATTAGCAAAAATTCTTTTTGCTATCATATTTGCAGCCATGAATGTGGTTACAATTGTGGCTGCAGTTGATCCAGCAGCAGGAGCAGCAGCGGAAGGAGAGCCAGTTCTTGAATTCTACATGCATGACATTTTAGGCGGCAGCACCCCAACTGCTCGGCCAATCACCGGCTTGTTAGGCACTATCTACAGTGGGCAAGTGCCCTTCGCAAGGCCTCTTGGTTTTGTACCCCCGGAAAATGGTGTAGCCATTCCAAATTCTAACGGCGCAATCCCAACAGTAAATGCCAATGGTGTTCCATTAGGCACTGGCTTAGCCGGTACAGCTTTTGCCGGTATCCCCAATGGCTCAAACAACAATGGTAATTTAGAATCACTAAAAACTTAAGCTATTAGAGATGCAGTAAATGTCACTTGGACCAGCTTATTCAGGAGGTAAAGCTATAAAATATGTGAAAATTTTATTCATTTAAATTTTATCGTTGACAGGTAAAACAATTAACACACAGTTAGGTCCTGATGGCTTGGGTCTAGGCTTTGGCACGATTACAGTCATCGATGATTTCTTAACCTCTGCTCCTGAGTTGGGGTCGCAGCAACTTGGGAAAGCGCAGGGGGTTTATGTTGCAAGCTCTGCAGATGGATCGACGCAAATGATGGCATTCACAGCTGTGATGGAAGGAGGGGAATATGGTGACAGCCTTAACTTCTTTGGAGTGTACAAGATTGGAAGTACCATGTCTCGCCTGTCCGTGACAGGGGGTACAGGCAAGTTTAAGAATGCGTGTGGATTTGCAGAGGTGCGATCGCTCATTCCGGCTGGTCAGCATGTCCTTGATGGTGTTGAGGCATTGCTAAGGCTCACAATTCATCTTACTTACTGACGAGTACTTCACGCTCAAATCGAACAAGAATAAGAAATTGTGGGCTTTGTTTGTATGAAAATTCATGTGTTGGTTTGTAATTTCTGTTTCAGTGTGGCAACGAATGCAAAGAAAAAATTGTAAGGATTTTTTAAGATGGGCTTGTATGTGTGAATAATTGTGTGTTAAATTATAGGCTATCGAATTCGGTTGAGCCCAATTAAAGTGATCTAATA